CCCCCCCCCCCCCCCAGTATGTCTCCTAATTAGTTCAAGGCAATTTTTTTCCTCTTTTTTTTTCTTTTTTTAATTTGTATTTTATTTTTTTTTTTCCCACCAAATAATCAACAAAAAAACTCGTAATTAAAAAATACTGAGAAAAAAACTTCTATGGAATCAGACTTCTAAGGCTATCAGTTTATAGGTGCAGAGCAGAAAGAATTTTGATCTTTAAGTTTTTGCCTGTATCTCCTTTCCAGCAGATAGTTAATTTACTAATTGCCAGTATTTTTAAAATGAACTAATGTTGCCATCAGGTCACCATGAACTGCTTTTACTTTGCTATCGTCTTTGGTTTTCTCCAGATATGACCTTACCATAAGTAGGTATCCTGGAGAAATGAGCTGAATATGGAAACGTTGACCTGACAATCTGTTTGTTGAACAGCACTGTTGGAGGAATACAAGGCACCAGAGCATTTTTCTGCAAGTTCAGATGATGGTCTCATTGAGAAAGTCCCTAAAAGTGTCCTGTATACTTTGGTGAACAGGCAAAGGGTTGGGGGTTGGAGAGGAACGCAGGAAACCTTAATTTCTCTCAACTCTCAATAATGCCTTTTTGCTACCATCTAGTGGTGATAGACAGGTGTCATAACACAGGTGCTTGCAGAGAGGTGGATTTTAGCAACAAGGAAAAAAGATGGAGAACTGCATACAAAAGTAACCCCAGAATGTCTTTGCTGTAAGATTTTGCTTTGCAGTCCCTTGGTGCTGATCCTGCTGCACTTTCTGTCAGTCTATGGTGCAGTGCAGAGAGGCCAAGGCAGGGCTGTGACCTGCTCTTGCCTGGGATCCAGCCTGCCATGATACTACAACTCTTTCTTCTGCTGTTCCCAGATGATTGATGCTTGCCTGCTTTGGGGTGCTGCAAGATGTTAAAATGCCTGAGATTGTGTGATACCTATGATGCTGAAGGAAAGGCCACAGTTGTCTTTACCCTGCAATCAGTTTCATCAAGAGGGCAGTGGAGCCTTTACTAAACATCCTGGATCATGTCATAAGGGACGCAACACATCAGCAATAACAAGGCGTGATGACGATATGTCTGAGGGTTACAAAGATGTAAGTCAAGTCCAGAACCTTCTATTACCTGTTGCAATAGGTGGCCCCAGCCTAAAAACATTGCCACCTGCCGAACTGGGAGAATATTTTCCACTTATATTAGAGGTATATGCCAAAAATAGAGTGCTTGTTTTAAAAAGTACAAGAGAATCTCCCCTAGAACGTAAATTTAAATATTGATACTGAGGAAAAATAAGGCAGGCAGGAAGGAAGGAAGGAAGGAAATGTCCTCTGAAAATGGAAAGCAGTAGGTGGAAAACCTGAAATCAAATTCTGAAATCAAGATAGAGAAAGAGACATTAAATATAGAGGTCCATTTCTGGCTCAGAGCACCACAAACAGTTCCTAAAGAAAAGGACTTTCTTTATATTGGTGCAGAGCTCCCTTTTCAATATCCCACATTCTGAAGACAGATATTTTGTGTAGAACACGGTAATACAAATCCAGAATATTTCATTCTGTTTATACATGTGAGTGAGTTCAAGGAAAAACAAATATCTCTTTTGGTTGAGATCAATTCTACAGCAAATAAATACATTTCCACACATACATGATGGAAAAGTCTCTTTTCCTTTTGCTTAAAATTCACTTACCTTAGAATCCCAAATATATTTCCACCCAGAAAGAAAACAGGAAAGAGAGAGAGAGAGAGAGAGAGTAATCACCTAATGTGAATTGTATTTCTGTCCCTAATCCTGGAATTAAATCCTTCCAGGCCTCTGCAGTCAACCCACAAATACATCTTTGGAAGATCAGACTTAGAATTGGATGCCTCAGTAACAGGAAAGAGGTGTACTCTAAACTTCATTGTGCAGCTTTCCAGTGTTAGCTGTATGAATTAGTGAAGATTAAAGCTGTCTAACTCTTGGCTCTGACAAGCAGAAGTTAGGTTTTGCAAAATACATGTTGAAATTCAGTGTGCATGTGATAAAAAACACACTTATTGAACAAACTGCTATATTTTGAAAGGCGAATCTTATCTCACACAAACAGATGACATGGATTTAAATTTTCAGTTCTATTTAGGTCCCAAATGATAGACTAATCCTAACTGTGAAATATTTCAGTCACTTAGAAAACAGTAAAAGAGAAATAAATCACAAGGCAGCTGTAGCTCTAACATGACCAAAAAACTAATGATCCATATACTCTGTCTGCTTTTCTATAGGTGATGTGAAACAGAGTTTAATGCAGGAATCTTCAAAGTAATCACATCAAATGACAGCAGAGGGAGCTATCATTTCTCTTCAGTTTATGGTGTCCTTGCTGAATCCATTGCTCTCTTATGCCTTGTGTAGTTACTATCAGGAATCTTGAAAAATACAAATTCTGAAACGTGATGGAACTTTTCCTAAAGGGAGTTAGAGACCAACAAGGGAGGAAGAAAATACATGTAAATATGCAATGTAAGGCCTGAAATCATCTTCTGAACATGAAGGCCCTGCAACAAGCACTTTGTTCTTACAGAACTAAAATGTAAATAATGTTGGGCTTGTCTGGTTAAATTTACCTTTTCCCTAGAAACATAAATGACAGACTAGTTAATCTGTAAGTTCTTATCCCTCATGAATTTATAATTTATCTGCTACATTTTGCTATCCTTACTGAAATGCTCACACAGAATGGACAGGGTAACACTTGCTAAAAGTGTGCAGTGTCCTGCCCATGGAAGCCACAGGGAAACCATACATTCATCCATTGAAAGAACTGACAAATGAATATGTTGCATCCTGTGCTGCCCTATGTGTGAGTTAAATTAACTAGAAAAAGGTTTTTTTTTTCTTTTTTTCTTTTTTTAAATCTGAAAACTCAATGGACACATATGAAGCATGGATTCCTTGGATATTTTCTTTTCTTTCCTTCTGGGGCTTGAGTGATGAAAGCATGGCCTATGTGGCCCCAGTAAGTGAAGTACTGAAACTCTGGTCCACTCGGATTGAAGTGAACAGACAGGTGAGGTTACATGCTGAACTGGCTGCTGCAAATCCAATGCTGAATGTCTTTTATGATAAGCCCCAAAATACCGAAACACAGCCCAAGATTTGTTTCTAGACCCACTTGAGGCAGAATGAATGCTCCACATCCTCACACTGAAAGCAGCTAGAACAATGCCTGAGATCTGCTTGTTACAAATCTAGAGGCTCGGCCATGGCCCTTCCCTCTCCCAACAGGCAGTGCTGGGCCTGATGAACCCAGGGTATGGTTTGCCCTTTGGGCTGCCAGGGCACACTGCTGACTCAGATTCAACTTGCTGCCAAGCAGAACCCCCAGATTCCTTTCTGCAGGGCTGCTCTCCTGCTTCTTGTCCCCCAGGGCAGGAGATCCATTTGTAGATACATAGATCCAGGGCTGCCCCTTTATCTTATTAAAATCCTGGGTACAAGATACAAGATTGGTGAGGAATACCTGGAATACAACAGAGTAAATTGACAGCATCTGTAATGGCAAAAGCAGAAGTTGCAAGTATTTTTTTTATTATTATTTTTATTCTTTTTTAGGGAAACAACACGAAACAAGTTTGTGTGATGCCGGCAAGTCTCACCGCAGTGAGGTATGAATTTAGTTGCATCTGTCACAAGATGTAATTCTAATCCCAGTGTGATCCTGGCAAAGCTCCACTGGCTTTGATAGAGTTGAGATGGCACTTCACAGGGCCTCATCAGTTCAGGAAAGCTCAGGGTCTGCTTTGGCATCTCCATTTCTCACAAGCCCGCTGCAGTGTCTCATTCTTGCCTCTGCTGTTCCCACAGGCATTCACTTATCCTTCCCTCCTGTCTGCGTGTTCACTTTGACCACCTTGCCTGGCTTTTCAACAAGCGTTTTATGTCCTGATCATTGATCAGTGGAGAATGCTCGATGTGTTCATTATGGTTCTGCAGACAACTATATTGTTCCTTGGGACGACTGTACATCCATCCGTTGCTAATCAGTGGCATGCTGAGGATTTTCCATTATTGAAGATGTTGGAGGTAGGCTACAGTATTACAGATTAGATTTTGGAGCACTGCATAGACTTTTTTGCAAAGCAAGTCTGGCAACATTTGATTCAAAGAGTTACTGATTTCTATCAATAGTCAAAGTTCCTTTTCACTAGCTCTCTGCCATTAGTAAAGGCTGCACTTCTTGTCCTTTATGGATGTAAGACTTGTTTAGATCTTGATTCTCTTTTTCTATTTTATGTCATATAGATCTTCTTCTAGGCCTTTTTTTCCATTTATTAGAACAAACACTGATAGGAAAAGTACAATGTCTGTGAATAACACTCCATTAAGTTTAACTTACAAAGTTGAGTGAATTAACTCAGATTCTCACATTTCTAAGAGCTCTGTCAAAATCCAGTGCAGATGTTGGGGCTAAGGGATGACAATGAGCAGAAATTTGAGCAAGTGAATGAATTTGTTGACGGTACAACAAATGATGGTATTTTCACATAATCTGGTATTTTTTCAGAAGTCATGGTTTGGATCTGTGTCTCGTAGATATTGTAAAGATATACACCTACAAAGATTTTTTGTTAAGTAAGCTCATTTCTGTTTCAAGCCACAGAGGAATAGGTTTGCTATGATGTATCCCTCCTTTGTTTTGTCTTGTCTTGCACTGAATAATATGTGGGAATTAAGAAAAAGCATTTAGCCCCGGCATTTAGCATTTAGCCTGGCTTACCTTGGGGTGCAGGTGCTGCCTCACATGCATTTGGATTGCTTACAGGCAAGTCTATCAGTATGAGCCTAAGGCTCCAAGCAGCCGACTGGAATGTATATCGCCAGATATGTTGATTTACAGTCCTTTGGATGTTGATGACTTGCCCTATCATACAGGGCAGCGATGTGAAGGTATGAGAAATGGTTGCTGCATAAACATTCTGTTCCTCTGACAATCAAATCAGTCAGTACTCTGCTGCCCATTGTGTTTTCACTGAAAAGATTGTGTACATAAAGTAGTCAGTGTGACCACTGACATTTACTGTGCATTTTTAAAGAAAAACTTCTGGAGACAGAATGTGTATGTGTGTAAGGAGGTAATGCACCACATTTTTTGCCTTGCTCAGTTTTTATTCAAATCTTGCTGTTATATTTATTGTTATATGATAAAAACAAACAAACCAACAAAAGGTGTAATTATGGTCTTTTGAATCTGAAAACAGTTTTAAAAGCTTTGAATTCTGAATCAGATCAAAGTAGTGTATATAACGAGACAGTCTTTGCTAGAGTTCTCATTGGTTGCAACCTTCTAAATGTAATAAAACAAGTGAAGTTGATCTCCCTTTCCTGTTTTAATTATGTCACTAAATAGCTGCAATCTCCAGCTGACATTGTAATAGTAAGGGGAACTTACTGTGTTTTTTTCCTGAAATGGAAGTTTCTCATGAAATCCTAAGGAACATTTCAGATAGCTGTGATGGAAACAATAATTCTGGTTAGCTCACATTTGACTGTGTTTAAATACAGAGCATTTTGGCATTCAAAACAGTATTGCAAGGGCTGATATCTCAGCTCTTTTTAGCATACAGTGTTGAATACACAAACGTGCACATCTTGAAATCACACAAATGTGAAAATCTGCAATTCAGAATCTAAATTGCTTCGATAAAAAGACAGACAAAATATTTCCTTTAAATCTAAATGCAAAGTACCTTTATGCTGCTATTTTAGGAAGCAAAATTGGTAACTATTTTTTTTTTTTTACAAAGGAAGCATCTCTCCTCTGTACTTTAGTACTGATTAGTAAATGGATATGCAGAAAGCTCTGTATGAAATTAGACAAGCATGAATCTGTGCACTCCAATATATTTAATACATGTTCCCTAAGACCTCAACAACTAAAGCTAATGCTCCCTCAGCTCCATTGAACTAATTAAGTTAGGTCGTTATGTTAATAATGGGCTGCCCTTCTGCCTGCATTTATAGCACTTAGCGAGTCAGTGTGTGTGTGTGGATGCTTACTGCATGAAGGAGAAAGCTTCTGTCAGTGAATTAGATTAATCCATCACGAGAATTAATGTGACATGATTACTGTTGATATATGTGAAGAAGCAGGCGTGCACGAACTTGACGCAAGGAGATATCTGCAGCTGTAGGAAGTAAGAAACACTTCAAAACATTAGGCAAGGGCTATGAGCCTGTACAGTTGAACAAATGGGCTGCTGATGCCGAGATGTGCTGAAGATAGGCTGCTGATATGACAGATGCACAGGGTGCCCTGGGATCCTAATGCTGCTATCAAGCATTTAGTTTAACTCAGTTGTGTTGATGTTTTGCTACAGACTTCTAATAACACCTGTTGTGTAAAATATTTCCCCAGATTAGTTTTCAGTTATTTTGCTTTCTGAAGAAGAGATGCTTGAAAATCAATTAGGGGGAAAAAAAAAAAAAAAAAAAGATCAGCTGTACTTTGGACATTATTTTGGTTGTTCTCTAATTTTGCCAATTATTTCATCAGCCACTTCATCTCCTTCTGTTCTGCTGACTGTGCGCCATGTCCAAGGTTGCTAATGATTTGGAAGTTCCCAACTACTGAAATGTGGCCCCTTAAGCCAGTGGTAACGGGCTGAGAAGAAAATGCTGCATTGGTAAATATTCTTTTGTGTCATAAATATTAAAACATAATGAAGAGTTGATAGCTGCGATAAAGGAAAAAGCAGAATTGCTGTAGTGAAAATTTATAAGAATAACAAATTGTCTTCCTGACAGAGGTAAATATGCATGTGGGCTTCTTTGTATGGCAGATACAACCGTTAGAATGCAGCATAAAACCAAGCCAAAATAATTGCAAGTTTTTGAGATGATCTTAATGTTGCTTTCTAGAAGGTGGTGGGCAGTATTAGAATTTCAGTTATCAAGAACAAAGTGGTAGAGAACTACCAACAGCATCTGACAATTTAGATTAATCATTTACTTAGCTTCAGCTCACAGGAGCAAGGTTTGTCTCATAGTACCATGTGTAATTTATTTTTCTTATACATAGTGAGAAAAGGTACTAAGATACTCAAGAGTCCTGAAGAAACAATCTCAAATTCACAATGCACTGTCCTGCATTTCCAACCACTGGCTGAGGCTGCAGAGATAAGGATTATTGTGTTGAGGACACTTGTAAGCATTGGAGTCAAGAGCAAATCGCCCAGATGGTTTGTTATGCAAACAAATGAACTCTCCTCTCTCCCCCCCCCCCCCCCCCAAGTATCTATTCAATGAAGCTGTTCATTTTAAAACAGGATCTTATATATAAAATTAGTTTAGGCATTTGTCTGCAGTGTAGCATCCATTTACAGATGAGGTTACTGTAGTGCACTCAGACTTCACAGGCTTGATTCATGGTATTCATTTGTGTGTTTCCTAACACATTGCAATATACATAGCCCAACCCAGCTATAAAATAGCTATTTGATTGCATGCTAGCAAATACATATTAGACCCAGTACATTTTGAATAAAATTTGACAGCATGTGAATCGCTGGATATAGCTGGCAAAGAATGGCATTAAAGTCAGCCATAAGTATCAGATTGACTATGGACACCTATAGGGGATAAATACTGCAAGTACCCATCGTTTCTTGGAGGTATTGCTTTTATAAACAGTAGTGCAAGAGGGGAAAAAAAATATATCAAATAATGTCCTATGAAGGATATCTTAAAACATTTTGGACTGTGATTTCAAAATCGAATTTCCACAAGTAAAGAGAAAAATATCATTCACTGTGGCACTTTTTGCAAAGTCTGAAGGTTGAAAGAAAGTTATTTTGTAACCAAGCACAAAATAGGCATTTGAAAAATTATTTAGCTGGCAAAAAAAACCACAATTTTTTTCCACATTAAGATAACTTAAGAACACCCAAATTGTTTTTTATTAGACTTCTCATATTTACTTCTTGGCTGACACATGCATGAGATATTCAGTCCTAAAGGTCACTTCTGAGAAAGCAATAAGTGACTGGAAACAGCACTGCAGGACAAAATGATGTCTCATTGCTAACTATTATTGGTAGAGAGTGATAAATATTTTACTCCAGAGGCTACAGGCCAGCTCCTGAAAATAAATTTCTGTTTCTCAGCTGTAGTGACAGCTGAAAGATGGTGTGACAGAGTGGCTCTTCCTGAGTTTAATTTTTTGATTAAAGAGAGGATGAGATGGAGTGGCCTGGATGTGTCACCTCATTGCCCACAGCAAGGCCTGAGGGCTGCCTCTGTGGGGCCCTGGCTGCGTGGCTGTGAGGTACCTGTGCCGCACCTCGAGTACTGTGTTCAGTTTTGGGCTCCTCACTACAGGAAAGATGTTGAGGTCCTGGAGCGTGTCCAGAGAAGGGCAACAAAACTGGTGAGGGGTCTGGAGCACAAGTCTTATGAGGAGCGGCTGAGGGAGCTGGGATTGTTCAGTCTGGAGAAGAGGAGGCTCAGGGGAGACCTCATTGCACTCTACAACCTCCTGAAGGGCTCCTGAAGGGAGGTTGTGGTGAAGAGGGATTTGGTCTCTTCTCCCAGTCAACGAGCAGGACATGGGTTAATGGCCGCAAGTTGTATCAGAGGAGGTTTAGGTTGGACATAAGGAAGAACTTGTTCTCTCAGAGAGTGGTCAGGCACTGGAATGGCTGCCCAGGGAGGCAGTGGAGTCGCCGTCCTTGGCAGTGTTCAAGCGGCGTCTGGAGGACGTGCTGCATGATATGGTTTAGTACTAGTGGTGGCAATGGTGATGAGGAGACGGTTGGACTGGATGATCTTATTCCAATCTTGTAATTCTATGATTCTATATGTTTCTCCACTACCAGAAGAGAGATAGGAGAGGCCCGGACAGCCCCAGTGCTTCTCAGCCCTGAGAGCAGCAGCAACAAATGAATGGGGCCTGCACACAGCGCTCGACACACACAGCTGCCATGTCACCCCTTCTTGTCTGGACCAGTGCTGCCCTTTAGGCTGTTCAAGCATCAACACAACGCTGCAGTCACCACAGCTGCTTACATCTAATTTTCCCTTTTGTGTGCTTTGGTTGTTCGATGGTTTACTTTCTCCCTTTTCTATTTGGCGTTGACATTCATCCTTAAGGTTTAATCATGGGGTAAAAAGGAGAGGGAGAGGAGAGGAGGAAAAAGAGGAAGGGAGGAAGCAAGAAAGGAGAGGAAGGGAGGGAAGGAAGGAAAGGAAGCTTTTCAGATGTTTTCGTAGGGGGTGGGTGCTGCTCCCCCTTCTGGAAAGGCAAGATAGAAGTAGCTGTCTGTCTGTGCCGCTCTACGTTGAGGCCTACAACGTCCTAAATTCAGGTTTCGCAGCCTGAGGTACCTCCTACCTCCACCCACCCCCACCATCCCCGGCCAGCCCGCAGGGCGGCGCCCTTCCCTGTAGCCACCGCCCGTAGATGTGGCCACACATCGCCCCGCCCGCCCGACGGGGCGTCACAGGCGCGGCTCGGCCCTTTCCCCTCGCTCGCGCAGGCGCGGCCCGGCCATGTCCGCCGTGGAGCGGCGCCTGGCCCGTTTTCGGGCAGCTCGGGGTAGGGCAGCCGCTGTCCCCCTGCGCCCCTCTGAGCCGCCGGGAAAGGCCGCGGCTCCGGAGCCCGCTGAGAGCCCGGATGGTGGCGGGCAGGTGAGCGCCGCGCGATGCGGGTGGGGGCCGTGCGGCGGCGGCGGCGGCGGGGCCGACGTCTGAAGGCACGTCTCGCTGCTGCCTCCACAGGCCCGTCCCGGCTGGGCGCCGGCGCCGGTGTGGGCGCGGCCGCTGCTGCTGAAGGTACTGCTGTGGGCCGTGCTGCTGGCGCTGTTCGCCGAGCTGGAGCTGGGGCTGCCCTACTTCGTCCTCTCCCTCCTCTACTGGATGTACGCCGGCACACGAGGCCCCGCCGAGCGGCGGCAGGGCGAGCTGAGCGCTTACTCCGTGTTCAACCCCGGCTGCACCGCCATCGCCGGGACGCTGACGGCCGAGCAGCTGGAGCGGGAGCTGCATTACCGGCCCGCCGCCGGGAGGTAGCGGAGCTGGGGCCGGGATGGGGAGGAGGAGGCGCGGCTGTGCCCTGCGCTACGCAGCCCGTGCCTGAGTCCTTCCTCGCCGCTCCCGAATAAAGCCGTAACAAAGCGCCATCAGCTTGTCGGTGACTTTCTGCTTACCACGGGAGGCCGGTGTTGGACTGCACTTGTAAGGGAGTGCCCCGCTGCTTTCCCGCCCGGCTCTGTGTACACCCAAGACGAGGCACGAGGCGGTATTGGTACAACTGAAGCCAGCTGCTGCTTCTGATCATGCCCGTGTTTCATCCAGTACATCCAATTTTGGTGCAGGTTTCTCGATTGCTCCGTGTTACAACGTTTGCTGTCTGCAGTGTACGGTGAAAATATCTGTTATTACTCCTGACAGGTGACACTTGTGGTTTTAACCATCATTTTGGAAAAATAACTAAGGGACAATGAGCAGCAAATGCAGAACTGCAAGAAGCTCTTAGATGAATGAGTACTTGCCTGTTGCTGCACTTGGTCTTTTTTTACCACCACACAGCTGGTGATGCTTCTCACCATCATCCCACGTGCAGCCAGGTGCACTTTTCTTTATGAGCCACTTTGTTTTTTTTAATGATCCATTGGTATTTCTATTATATAAATGATTGCATGAAAATAAACCACTGATATTAAGCTGTAGTGAAGAGCAGTTAATTGAGTTTACACCCATTTTGTTGAAAACAAAAGTCGCAACCTTGGTCTTTCAAATCCTGTTTCATTGCGTCTTTTCTGTTTTAGCTGTCACTGTAGTTACCACAGGTTCCATCTTTTGTTGGATAAGCAAATGGAAATGTTAATTGGACTGGAAAGAATAATAGGTTAGGGCACAAGTAATACCTTGTGACGCTACTAAACGTCTTTCAGTATCTCTCTGCAACACTATCAGCTTCTACCACTGCTCTGCTGTATAAATTCTACATGTTACCTAAAGCCAACCACAGAATTTTCCCACTTCTATCACCATCCTCTGGCTGAGATGTACAAACCAGCTGAGTTCTCGCTGTTCTTTTCACCGATATCACCTAATTCCATATGGACAATGTGCTCCGTTTTGTTTTTGGTTAACAAAGCCTCTGCGGGTTCAGAGCACTCTTTGTAGTGGACACGGAGGTGGAAATAATAGAAATCTTTACTTTCATGGAAGAACCGTGAATTAGGAGTCTCAACAATCTTAGGAAGTATTCTGGTAATGATGGAGTAACAAACAAGTGACAATTTAGGAAAAGGTAAGTACACCAGTAAGTGAGAGCATTTTGTGAGCGAGTTGAAACTTTATTCACAAGGAATAAAATAAACGTGTTCATGGAGAGCTGATAATTTGACACCTTTCACAGATCCCGTGGGTGTTTTAAGCAAGGAAAGACATGCAAATAAATATTAAGGTAACATCCATGAAACAATAAAATGTTATAGCAGCAATAATGGAAATAAAGGCTTAATTTGCTTTAAACTCTAGTTACATAATGTCAGGCTGAATTCATAGACTATTCTGTTTAATACTTTATGAAACAAATTACTACGCTAAATGAGAATGAAGCTGAAAGGCACAAGAAATAAAAATTCATGCAGTTCATCTGTTCCAGTGCTTTCTGTTGCTTTTCTTATTTCATGTTACTCAAATAAATGCACAGTATAAATTCTGAAACAGAGATGGCAAGAATAACAACATGGGCTTGTAAAAGATATTACTGAAGTAGATATGAAGTATTACGTTGAAATGATTTTTTAGGCCTTGAAGTATTTCTCAAAGTGTGGCACTACTGTAGTTCTGCTTTGATGGCAATTCCCTTCACCAGTTCTTAAGGGAGACAAAGAAGTGAGAGCTTAATTGGAGAGGAAGAAAAATGCACCAAAGCTGTTTGTCTGAGATCATCACACTTTTTTTTTTTTTCTTTTTTTTTTTTCTTCACTTATATTCTAACAAGCCAGAACTTAAAAAGGTAAATTTGACAACTGGTGCTGCAGATATTCCTATGGGCCCAAAGCCCTCAGTTCTTAAGTGACTGGAAAGGCCAAAAAGCCTCAGGGCTCCAAAGCACATCAAACTGTAGAAGGAAACTTTGTGACAGCAACAAAATACAGCTTTCTTAGCACACACAAATGTCTATCCTCCTTCACTGTGTATATTTTTTCCAGTATAATAGCGTGTTACACATATCTATAGCTTCCTATTGCCACAGCAGAACAAATTTTGCTAACAGCTGCACAAGTGGCAGAAACTTTTTTTCTGGGTTTGCACACAATCAAGCAGGGCCCTGAAAAATTAGCACCCATCTTGAATATTAATGAATGAAATTATTCCCTCTAGTGTGTGTTATATAGATTAAGATTTCACCTGTAGCTGGTACCTTTTCACCTACCAGTGATTCTCATGTTGCTGCAATCAAATGTAGATGCTAAGTGGAAAAATGATGCATACTCTGCATACAAGAAGCTAATTAATTATATTTCAGAACAGTGACTAATGTACATATGTAGTAGTCAGATATTGTATTAAGGGTGATGCAATGTAGAATCTAGGTATTAAATTTATAGAAGAGCCTGAGGTACTTCATTCCAAGGTCAGCTCTGCAACCAATGTTATAAAGGCACAGCCTGGGAATGGCCTGTGTAGAAGCCAGTGTGCTAGACATACGCAAGCCAGCCTGAGAACTGTGGTGGATTTCTACAAATGTGTCTTGACTTTTCCCTGGAGCTCAATTATAAGCATTATAGCAGAAGAAGGTAACCTATCCTCTCTAATTTAATTCTAATCTGCTGATTACAAAATTAATCCAACCTGTTGGCAATTTGAATTCTAATACAAAGATTAAATTATTCCATGCAAAGCAATCTAGCTTTAGGCAGGAAGGATGCTGAATTATATCCAGTCTCCTTTCTTGGCAATAAGGGATGTGGATTCAAGTGCAAAGAGGACTACAAAGTATCTCTGCTGAGTAGTATACCTGCTAGGCTATGGAAGCCACTCTTATTACAAGAAGGCTATGGGCAGGAATGTTCTCAGACCTAGTCTTCAGCATCTTGTCTGTCAGCTGTAAAGTGGAGATGTATATCTAAGCTGCATAAGGATATATAACACTTGTTATTAAGTGAGGCAATGGACCAAGGTCTGCTTGTAAAAGTGCCTCGTTTTCCCCAGCAACTCTTGTAAACATCAGCAAAGGGTAACATAATTAGCAGCGTAGATGCATTCTTCTACAAGAGCCCTTGCAGTTTCAAACTAACAAAAGCCCGTTGTGTTGAGGATGCAGTGGTGGGTGGTATTTTTTGAACCCAGCTGAGGGCAGGCTCTGGAACAGGTGGACAGCCCAGGCCCTGGGCACAGCCGGGAACTGTCTGCCGTGCTGACAGTTCAGCCTTCCACTACCCTGAGTAGAACACCTTGCGGGTATCTCAGGTGCCTGGAGAAAATGTACAAGGCTAGAGAAGAGACAAAAGTGAGCCCACACTGTAAATACGGAATCACTTCCAAGTCAGTGAAGTCTGGTAAGACCAATTGTAACTGCAGGTTGACTTCTTTGTGTTTGCACCCACAGAAAGCAGAGTACAGCTTTGAAGGAATATGTTTTGAAGCAAAAGTCATTATCCTGTCTGTGTTCATACCTACCCATACCTATCCATACCTAAGGAGAGACAGAGTACCATATAAAAGCGGAAGGGCTCTGCGTTTGGTGGTTATTTCCATTGTTGTCAGTAGAGATGACACACATCTATTAATATCAGAATAGGTTCCCTAATAGATAGCAGTTTTGGTTTCTTTAAAGCAAAGTCTAAAAAGAACATTCAGGAATATACACCATGCTACCTGCTGCAGTTACAGACCTTCAAGATGCTGTTCTTCACCTTTCTGGTAAACAGGTAAATATATTCTGAACTTCAGATCTGGGAAACTTTCTCCAAAACTGATTCTTAAAGCCCATGCTGCCTCCCACTAAGTTTTTTCTAAAATGTGATAGCACCTTACCCTATCCTCGTAAAAGTCAACATGTGTTTTTTGTCAATAATCATATTCAGTTTCCTTGTAATTTAATCAGTCGATCACTCGGCTCGCCCACTCAACAATAATAAGCCATTGACCCTGTGGTTTCAGACTGGATCAATGCTATGCTAAGTTTTGGACACCTGGAGGCCTTGTGTGCAAATAGGAGGAAACTTTTAACTTACTTTAGACATGATCAATTTTTGCTCTGATGTGTTGATTACATTAGCAGATTGCTCTCCCTAGAAACCTTTGTTCAACAGCCTGCAGGCAATAAGCAGCATATACTCAAGTTTCTTGCTGGAGATGACACACTTAAGCCACTTGCTTGGGTATTTAAGGGTTTTCAGGTACATTATACAGTTCATTGTTCTCAATCTGGTTCACCTGCAGAAATCTTAGCTGAATGTAGCCTGGCAAGTGGCAGCGTAAACACTACTGCCTACCGTGCCTCCACTACTGATGCTGTTGGCTGGACACTTCAGAGGTTTCATGCTGCTGTCTCTCTGGACATACAAATGTTCCAATCTCCAGCGCTCCCAACTTTTCCGAAACTCCATCTGAACCTAACAAGCAAAACAAGAAAACAAAAGGAATGAATATAGAAGTAATCAGATCTTTAAATGATTCTGTTAGAAAAGGGCAAGTTAATAAACATACCACACTACTGAGGAAAGACGGCAATGCTCTAAACCTCCATTATTATTGCTTCAATTATCTAATTACCTCATTAGCCTATCATAGGGTATTTCATATTTAAAATAACGATGGTTTTCACTTTCACTTTCACTTGCATAAAGCTCTTTTATGCTACAGCACACCAGGGATTTTTCAGTATTGTTTTCTAAATAGTATTCATCTGCAATACAGCGTGTACTCCATGCCCCACTACTATTAAGTTGATTTTACTTATCAACTATTAAATGAGTGAAAAGATTGACTTCCTGCTCAGTACTGTCACCACAGGCATTCTTAAAGTTCTGTGTCCGATTTCATTTAATCAGTATTATTCTTTGGCTGATTTTTGTTTGTGGAATATTTACTTTTCTAATTCCATGGAAAAGATATTTATTCAGAATTGATACATTAACGAACTAGCATATTGAAGACTATACTTTCTTTCCCCCTTTTAGATAACAATTAAAGTATCTCTTTGCAGATACTGTAAATTTTTAAAAAGTTGTAGTACAAGGCTTATATCCAGTCACTGGTCCTGGGTTAAACTGTGGAACTGCTGTATCCATTTGGGAGTTCATCAAGGGTTTTGAAACTGTGTCATAGTTTGGGGTTTTTATTCTTCTCCAGCAAGAACAGAATTTTGAGTCTACCTGTTCCATGGGCAATGTTCTTGCCACTTGACTGAAATAAGAAGTTCCATTAGCTTTTAACGCATAAGGAAGAGGACATAAAATTGAACCTTTTTTACTCTATTTAGAAAAAGGCAGGAGACCAACTACAGCGATGAACTCATCAGGGTGTGTACTTCTGCCTGGAAGTAAGTGGGCTATAGTAGGTTGCTCAAGTGAGCCTTCTCTGGAGAGTTCCTTTTTATTTCCTCTTAGGGTCTGGTACTGACCACCAAGAGACTAAATAGACTAATGGTAGTTCCAGCACAGGCCTGTCATCCTGTCCATGCTGCTGAAACCATCATTCTCTGAAGGAAACTTTCTAGGGAACCAGCTACTTTCTTCTCCACTTGTTTATTTTTCAAATACCAAACCTGGGAAGAAACCCTAAAAAAGGAACAAAGTATGCACAGCCAATTGTCTTCCTTTACTAGTTACCCCTAGCACTGCTTGTCAACTCAGAGCTACAGCCCTTGTACTGAGTACCGTCCTGGCACAAGCACATGAGAGCCAACTGCATTTCTGTGTTACTGACTGTGGAATCTGTCCCCTGGTATCACAATCAAATGGGGAATTAGGAAAGGTGCTAAGATAAGATACTATATTTTACTATGATTCTGGGTGGCTGTTGTGTCAAAAGCCACACAAAGGCACAAGAAAAAAGACAGCAAGTCTGAGACACTTTGCCATATAAGAATGAGGAAGAATAACTTGATAAAGACAGAAAATGAAACAGTGAAATACAAGCACCACGCTGTCTTCAGAATAAGAATGATGATACTATCATTCCTGTAATTGGTAACTTCTGTGGGAATGGAGAAACGCTGTTTTGTTAGGTAGCACTGGGAATAAGCAGTTTTAGATACTGACAGAAAGATCCTGAAAGAGAACATGAATGTGTTTATTGACAGAATGAGTCAACGAGCAATAGAAGCAGGTATTTAGAATCAGGCAGAGGGATGAAATGTCTTCCGTCTGGATGGACATGACAGGTGTTATCCTAGAGCTATGGCACAAATAGCCTGCAAGATTGAGATGAAGTGATTGGGAAGAACTGAACAAAAGACCATAGCAGAAATGATGCTTTAGGAATAGGTCTTGGTGACAGAATATTAGTTTTCACTCCAAAGATTAAGGAAAAGGGTAAAGAGAAACTCTGCTTTCAGTGCTGAATTAATTAATTAATTAATTAATTTTTTGCCTACATGGCTATGAAGACATGACTGAAGTTATAGTTCAAGATTTATTTAGTATATCTTGAGCACAGAAGTTGATGTACAGATCTTTCAGCCAATTAATTAGCCTAGCAGCATCCATGCATGGATAAATAGGCTGTACAGGGAGAAGGGAGCCAAGAAAAAAGTTTCCATGAAGAAGGGGAAGAAGAAAATTTTCACAGACAAAGAAGTATGCAGAACCTAGAAAACATGGTCATGGACGTTAAAAATGGAGAAGGTATCTCACAGAGAACTGCTGATTGAGCCTAATGCAGGTTACAGGCTTCAATCATAGCGATAGGAATGTACATCTGAAATGACGTAGAATGGAGCTGGTGGAGCAGTTCAAGAAACTATATAGAGAATACAGAGTAAAAAGAGAAAATGAAGATTGAGCAGTAATGAAAATAAATACATAAATCAAGGAATCCTGGAGTTAAGACAGATTCTTTTTAAGGTGAAAGAGAGTGAAGTGTATTTCCACAGAGATAGGAAGGAGGCACAAAAAGAGAAGGAAAATTATACAGAAAGCAGCCTGAATTAGCTTAAACTAATTCTGATGGAAAAAGATAGCATCTCTCTGGTTAGAATATTTGTTACAGAAGGCAACACTGCAGAAAAATGGATCACATTAAACCCATCCCAGTCTTCAAAGAAAATTGGTGATAACAGCCAATCCGATGAGACCCTGTAATTTGCTTCAGAGCAATACTAGAAGAATTATTTCAGGTGAAATGTGACTGAAATACAAACATATTTTAATGTTCTTCTATAAGTAAATTCTACTAAAGGAAATAATATAACTTCTATCTTTATTTCTGTCCTTGATCTGGCTCCAACACTTGCAAAAAACACTGAGAAGTATGGTTAAGGTAAAAGAAAAGAAGTCACTGAGTCACAGACAAAAAATACAAACCATACAAGGATAGGCTTCAGGAACACTGTCAGAAGAAAAAGAGTTTAAAAACTGAGTTTAAGAAAAAAATAGAAGAGACTCAACATACTCAAACTCTTTACGCAGATTTATTCTAAGTATGTTGATGAATGAGCTTGGCAAAATTCTTTTCCCTTCTTTTAATAAGCATTGGCACAAGTTAAATAATTCAATCTAGATTGTCAGATTTGTATGAAACTGAATACGTTAGGATTACACACTGGGAATTACATTACAAAAGCAAAAGAGCTGTAAACATGAGATGTCACAGAAGGTTCTGTCAAAAGAAGCAACTCTTTTTTCAGGGTTTGTAATGTACGTAACTTTGTTCTTGTATCACATGGAAGAAACTACTGGACATAATTCACCAGGGTCCTGGCTGCAGCTGCACAGGAGATATGTGAGCAGAGGCCAAAGTGAATCAGAATAAATGATACAGCAGCAGATGGTTCTTAATTTCAGGATTTACACCTGTAAAAGTGTACAAAGGATTTTAAACAAGTATTTTCCAATTCATGCTTGAGCAAAGCCTGCTGCTACCTACCTCTAGCTTTCATAAGTGGTGCAATTAACACATTCACTTAAACATAATCTTACCCACAGCTACAAAAGTGAACAGTCTCCTGCAGGGCTTAATTCAGCATGCCTGCTGCTTTTTTGTTAACTCCAGCCTAGCCATAATGACATAATTAGAACATTTCTTCCATTGATTTCAATTCCTTGATGAGGTCTATCTTTCAACAGATGATTTTGGATCACTGTGTCATATTTAAAAGTAGACTTAGCACTAATGCAAAACACATTGACTTGCATTAGACTTAATAATGTGCTGCCAAGTCAGTAGTGTTTTTGCTTCCCTTGCAAACCCGGCTGCTATAATAACGACCACTTAGAAGGTAACACAAAAGGTTTATGCAGTACAGAAACAGAATACTCTCACCTAACAGGTCTGGAGTTCAGCAGATGCCCTAAGATGGTACTTGTATTCACATTAGCTCAAAGCTCTGAGGCCGGAGCTTTTGGGAGAACTTGCTACTCCTTGAAGTTCAGTGCTATATTTTAATGAGAGCGATGATATTTTCAGTAGCAGGAATGCAGGGAAACCAAACTTAATTAAACCCTACAGGAATTAGCCATGAATATTGTACAATCTCACCAGTGAGCTGCTCAGAGCTGTAGAATAAAAATGGCTCTACTTCAATATTAATCAAAGCAAGCACATTAGAAACACTTTGGAATGGATTAAGAGGAGCAACTGTCTCAATAAAAGGAAATCACTGAAAACTATACGATTGTAAGCAAGAAAACTTGCAAGACATCATGCCTACAGATAATATTCTTGAAGTACAATGCCTGGATTCCTTCCAACAATTGTCTGAAAAGTTATCCCATGTGGCTGTAAAGAGGTTGGTCTGTAGAAAGAGTAAATTAAAAAAAAAAAAAAAAAAAAAAAAAAAAGCCCTCAGTAAGACTTTCAGCAGTTCAAGACCATTTAGCAATTCAAAACCACGTTCAATTTCCTTTTTCTACAGTGGCTGCTGATTGTGCAAGCTGGAGCAATTCGTAGTGTCTCTCTTACCTCATTATTGATGAAACAGTAGAGAATTGCAACCATCAGCCCCTGAAATCAACAAAAAAACAAGAGGAGTGAGAAGAGCACAGCAGAGCAGTTCTCGTCCTTTGCCAAGCAAAGCTGCAGAGGGCTGAGCTCCACACTGGCATGTTCCATGGTGAGAGAAAAACAAGAATGGAAGATGAAGACGAAGGGTGGTCTCTGACAGCCCTGATGGCAGAGAAATTTGATCAAACTATGTCTCAAAGCACACGATCTTAGGAAAAATAAGCTACTGTGTTCTTCAACCTGTCATTTTTTCCTAACACCTCTTTCCCTCTGCTTTTTCCTTACCTGTCTTCTGGCCACAAACAATATTAACAATTCACAGTGAACATAAATACAGCTCTGTGCTTGATAAACAGGGAATGAGCGGGCGAGCAGGTAAACTGGAAGAATAATGATTCCCTTAGACAAGGAGATTATTTTAAAAATGGCTTTACCTAAGGCAACAAATAAATAAAAATCACAGTAAATCTACATTTGCCTCACATGCAGTTTCAGCTGTAGACAACTACTTCTCACAGCACAGATTTTCAGGAGTATCAAAAATGCAAGTGAAGGCACAAAATTTGTTTTCAGCAACACCATTATACAATTACAGGAAATCACAGACAATTTCATTATTGCCTTGAGGCACCCCACAGGGAGTAGAGCTTAATACATGGATGGGAATACCAGTTTACTGTGAGAAATGTAAGACTTATTGAAAATAGAGTGACATTAACATCTAAACTAAATATTAAAAATGACATCATATCACTGTCATAAACCTGCAATATCTAGTGCTAAATTGAAAAATACAATAAACAGGAATGAGACCATGAGCAGGACACCAAACAGCAGTTACAAAATATCCACATGTGCCCAGTATGTATGCTACCTGGAAAGAAGCAAAGGAGAGCTCAGTAAAAAGCTTCACAAAGCGCAGCATCCCTCTGGCATGTTCATCAGTAATAAAGGCAAAGATGACCTCATGGGTTCCCAGCAGTGGGATCAACGTCAAGGTAGACTTGGCCAGCCTAGGATCACAAAGGAAAAAGAAACAAAGCCACTCAATAGTTCATTGCTCTGCTTCTGACACACCATGAACCAAAAAAGAATAAATAAATAAACAAATAAAGGAAAAGTAGCCTCAAAAGTAACCATGGTAGATTTCAATATGTTTTAAGTGCTGCTCCACTACACATCACCCCTGCTGTCAGCAATGCTATCTATTCAGCTCTTGGCTGTATTTTGCCTAGAAGGCCTTTCCAATTTAGGAGCAGGTCACATGACTTCTTGTACCCCAAGATGTTTCCCTGTGTACACTTTTCCCCATTTGTAAATGGGAAATATAATCAAAACTTACCTTGTTACCTTGTTAATAACCTGAAAGAAACAGTCTACCAGGGACTAGAATTTTTTTAAAATACCTTGGAATATGGAGTATTACTTGTTGTTCCTTCCCACCTCCACGGTGTGTTAAATCTTTAAAACACTGTAACTGACTGTAACTGTGTAAGACTTCATAAAAGCAGTTAAACTGTCTTAAAGTGACTGATGACTGTGTGACTGTGTGATTAAATGGCAAGTTCAAAGACACAGCTAGCAAAAAAAAAAAAAAAAAGACACCAATATGAAATAAAGTATTTTTTGCCTGTGGGAGAGAAAGCAGTGCTCAGGTTTACAACTACAGGGAACCATTCACAAGAGTAGTCCTTAGCTCTCTTTTGATAGATACACAAGCCACTCAACAGGAATGCAAGGTGCCTGAACCTCACAGAAGAGCTTAAAATACTATCCTGGGCCAAAGAACCAGTCAATACTACCAGTGCCTCCTGACAGACTGCCATGGGACACTTTGGTGGGTACAGAACCATTTGACTGGCAGGGCTGATAGTACTTAGAATATCTTGTGCACTCTAGGGCTTTCAGCTGATATTATGAATCACAATCAAGATGAAAGCAATCTCCAGAAGTCCCTTGCTCAATTCAGCAGGTTTACTCAGGTCTCTGCCCCAACGAGTTTTAAAAATCTCCATGGCAGATACTGCACAGCCTCAATAGGCCCCTTTTCCCACATCAGGCAACTCTTTTTTTTTTCCTCCACCTCTGACATACAGCTGGAACCCCTCTTGCAATAACTTGTGCCCCTTGTCCTTTAACCATGTACTTCTGTAAGAAGTCCAGCTCCATTTTCCTTATAGTCACCATTAGGTAGCTGAAGACTGCAACAGAATCCTTACTTAGCCTTCTGTTCCCAGGCTGAATAAATCTAGTTCTCAGCAACTTCTTCTACATCACTTACTCTATTCCCTGACATACACTAGTGAAAAAAAATGAGGCAAGATCCATGGGTTACAGAGGGTCAAAACACAATGACTTTCTTGAACCTGGACACCAGAAGTAGTTTTGTAGGTGCTGAATGGAATGGGTCTGTCACTTCCCTTGATCTGGCTACGCTCTTACTAATGTACCTCTGTCATCCTACAATGCCACAAGAGCACACTGCTGATTTATGTTCAGCCTGCTGTCCTCCAGCATTCTTCGGTCTTCCATAAAGTTGCTTCACACCCAGTCAGCACCCATTCTGTGTTGCTGGATGGAGTTGTTTAACGCTAAGCACTGGGCTCCTGTCAGGTCATCCACTAGCCTGCCAACATCCTTGGTGCACAGGGCAAGATTGAGAGATACTGTATCTAAGGAACCATTGAAATTAAACAGTTTACAGACATGCAGATTTTTAGTGGATGTAGGCATGCCACTGCACTGGAGGAGGGGAGGGAACTTGCTTAAAAGAGTAGCTAGCCAGCAGGTCTCATGAAGCAGGCTCTGCTACACCACTATCTCCCTTGAGACAGAGGTAGAAGCAGGAGGCTGACTGAATCAGTTCTTGAGGCACGGCCTGGGCAAAGAAAGGGAGTTGGGTAGGTGTACAGCAATCCCCTAGTTTGTTTAATGAATGCTAATTAGTCTAGATGGGATACTTAGAGAGCTCTATCTTAAACAGAACGCTATGAAAAATCCTATGAAAATGCTTCCTGGGTAGTTAAGATCCCTGAAGAAAATCCCCTACCCTCAGCAAAAGGAAGCTTCCACACAACTCCAGTCCTTACACAGAGAAAAGGGATTTGTTGCTATGACGAACAATGAGCACTATCTGGGCAACACAAGATGGAAAAATTTGTCTGAAAGCAAAAGACTTCTCTTTTACATATAAGCTAGTGACTTTCTAGGCACCTACATTAGTCTTGTATAAGAGAATAAATTTCACAGTAGCAGTTCTGTCTTCACAAGTCTTTTCCATTATCTCTGAGCAGAAAAGAAGGAGTAAAAATATTCTCATACAGCTACCTATGTACTGGTCTTGTTATCATCAGAGACCTACCAATGAACTGAACTCTTCTGGGTAGAGAAGACTTCCTCAACTTCACTATACCTACCAACCACAAGAAGGACTACCAAGACTTTAATCTTCGTCAGTAAAGAAGGTTCTGATGCTGGGTAAATTCTTTCTTGATAAAGCCTCTCTGTTTAGTAGCAGATTTTTGAACATACAACATGAATAATTGAATGAACTTGCACTTCTGGTTCAGCTGTATCAAACTGTCCTTCTAAATACAGAAGTCATAAAGGCTTTCTCCTTGACAGCATAATTTTACAGTCAGGCTTTCAAATGCCTCCAAGCCAGCAAAACTGCCTGCCTACCACTACACCTTGAAAATTTTACCCCGGGAAGAAAAGGTCATGTTTATTCAGAACGAAAGTTAAGCATGCAGCACATTAGGAGTCCTTTTCTCTGCTTTGAACTTCAACCATGCACAAGGATTTCCAAAATTTCGCAAAGCTCTGAGGGTAGGTAACATCAAGACAACTCTGTACTCTGGTAAGATGACACAAAAATACATGCTGTGTCTACTATAGAAGTCTAGCAAAGTCAAATAACCATAGCTGAAAAGCATGTAGCTCCACACTCATTAATTTATCCTATAGCAGATTTGTTCCTCCTATACTATTTTTCAGACTGTAATACAGAAATGCACTTCAAGATGTAGACATAAGTGATGCAACTATGAATCTTATCAAGGTGATAAAATAACAGGCATAACACAGACAAGGCAATGACTGCAAAATAAATATTGAACATCTCAGTAGGTGCTCTCTTGAAACACCATATATATGCCTAGTAAATTCAAGATTGAAAGTTCGTCCTAATAAAAATCGGCAATAAGAACAAGCAGCGGTACTCAAAATAACCCCTCACTATCTTCATTGAAGTTAAAGATTTTATTTCTCTCACTTATTATCTTCCAAATTACGTAAGTACTTGCATATGCTGCAAGTATGCAAAAAATACCTGCTTCTTCCAGTGTTGTGGAAGAGTGTAAACTGATGAGCTCAGAGATCAACTCTTCCATTTATCTCCAATTCAGGTGCAACAATTGTCCTGGCTTCACCAGAAGGTTTCACTGGTGACTGACTGCCCAAGCAATCACAGCAACATGCAACACAAGCTACTCAGGGTCAGTGATGTTTAAATATCCTTGTTAATCTACTTCTTTCCATGTATCTCTTTGTCCACTTCTATTTTGAGAGGTAACAAGTGTCAGACCATCAAACAACATACCTGCATTTTATGTCAGTTTTGCACATCAAATTGGCTTGTAGCTTGGAGATGATGATGCATATAACTCTGATAAAGATCAAGAAATTTACCTGGAAAGATTAAAGAAGAATTTATACAGTCATCAAGAAATATGTATGTGTAAGTGCTAAGTTGGGTTGTATATGCATTTCTAGGTCCTGGGAATCCTGCTATTCTGCAGCTGAAGAATTTACCACAGAATTCAATTTCTTGCTAAGTTCTAAAATGCATCCTCTGTGCTACCTGCTGCAGCTTTCCCAAACAGAGGAGTTAGCTGTACTGATGTGGCATGCTATTTAGTTATCATGCACTGCCAGTAAACAAGAAGACAGCATGAAATAAACGTCAAAATAAACGTCACACTCGTCAGGAATTCAAGTAACAGAAACCAATTTGGTTTCATAAAATCTCATTCCTGAATGAAAATGTCAGTGCCCTCAAAGGTTATTAACCTTTGGACACGCACAATAGCCGTATGCACTACCACTCTTTGCAGTACATGATGTAGTACTGAGTGCACTCCATACTCACCCCAATGGCGATTAGAATGGGCAGTCTGATGATCAGCCAATAATTCATGTTATAGTTCCTGCTCCAGCAGCTAGGCAGAATGCAAAAAGACAAGAAAAAACTTTCAGTACATTATTAAAATCTCCCATTTCTCATTCTCTTACAGTAGTGCGGATGGAAAACAATATTGAGGACTAGATACCAGGAAAGTACATCATGATGACATGGAAACAGATGCATTTGCTGGGTTCTTAGAAACATGCTTTATACAATTGCAGCTGTCATAATCTAGCTGGATACTACTTGTCTGCCTTTCCTGTCCACTAATGGCTAGCTCTCCTCCAACACTCGATGTGAATTATCATCAATAAATTTTGGAGATTTGCTCCATTAAAACCAAGGCCATTTGGCTGCAAGGGGAGAGCTATCGATTTGAGTCAGATGTTTCTTGTTTGGTTCCTGTCCTACACTTCTTGTGTACTTTCTGTCCAGAAAGTAACATGCTGCAGGCACTATAATACTTTATTCTTCCCATAAGCCTCATTTTCTTTTTAAAAATTCTTGGACCCTCAAGCAATGGAGGAGAATGATCACAAGAAATGTAATGCCTGAAAGCCATAGCTTGGGATCACCAGTTTGAAGTGATCATTACAATGGGGCTTTGTGCATCTAGTTCTTTTGTCTGCTGTCCCCAGCCAGCCAGCCCCATGAGGTCCTGTGTGTGCACAATGGCTCAGGTGGCCCAGCAGTGCTCATGTCCACTTCACAAGCTGCAGCAGTAACAGCTTACTTAATATTTGCATGAAACAGCTTTGTTAGCCTCTTGTCACATTGTTCAGTATTACTCAACAGCAACTTTCATCAGTAAACCCAGCAGGTTTCGGAGCCACACAGGCTGTGAAACAAACTATGAAACAGCACTATAGAAAATACAGGTTGTTTCACAGAACAAATTTCTTCTCCAGATTTTATCTGCCTACACTTACATATGCTCAGTTTTCCCTAAGTTTTCTTAACAGACCTATGAAACTAGGGTGCTACTGGCAGAGAGTAAGCCACCTAACCTTGTCATGGGACAGTCAGCTTGAGAGAAAATAGAAAACTGTGTAGTGCATAGTAGGAGTCCATGCCACAGTGCCTACACACACAAATCCTACAGAGGAAAGTGAAGCAATTTTGCTGTGGCAGTTCCAAATTGCCTTGGTGGTAACAGAGGCCCAAAAAGGCTAGGAATTTCATTTTTCTTTCAACTTGAGTTTAATACACACAATCAGATCTGCTTGTATTATCCAATTGCATTAAATTATTTTTTAGATACTGAGAAAGAGGGTTTATGTATCATGTGCAGTCAGTGTACCTGAGCTGGAATCTGAGTAACAGAACTTCTTAATTGCTACGGGTGACTGGAATCTAGCTTAATGCATTTTTTAAATTAATTTTATTTGAATCCCTCAAGGCAGGTAGGATAACAGGCATGGCTGGGAGTGGAATTCTAATTTTCTGACTAGCTACAGAGGAAGCAGAGGCAATTTTAAAATTTCCTGATAATGACAGAGACTGGTTTAATGGTTTAACATTAGCTCTGCTACATTTCTGTGTGTATTAATTTGCTTCCTGTGGCACAGAGCAGTTTTAGCTACTTTTAAATTTATACAAATATGTGCAATAAAAACACCATTAGAGTCCAATTAAAGTGCCACAGCTATTAAAGTGTCCAGAAAATGAAATTGATAGATCTGTACATTATTTTTTCTCCATTTGTGCTTTCTGGGACTTTCACACTGATAAATATGCTATTCTGATTGGGATCTACCCCTGCAGTTTGTTCAGGGCCACTTAAAAGATGCTTGGCAGATAATAGCATCAAAACTGTAAATAGGAAATTAATCCAGTGAAACAGATGCTACTGGGAAGTTTCTGCCTTTGCTTAACAATCTAGAAGTCTTTATGAATGAAAACACTGATGTTTTACCTTAAAGACATACAGATTAATGGCTCCATTTTTAAAAATACTGGACTGGCTGTCTTCCTCCCATAGTTAATTGAAGGCAGAAACAAAGAACACAGAATCATCACAGAACGGCTTGGGTTGGAAGGGACCTTAAAGGTCATCCAGTTCCAACCACCCTGCTCTATCAGCTCTTTAGGTACAGTGTAATGATTAAGAAGCTCACCTTGTATTCACTTTTATTCGTAATCTATACAAAAAGTGTTTTTAAATAGCTCACTTTTTAAAACAGCAACTGATTCATAAAGGAGTTCACAGGTGTACCTGTAAGGAAAGAAGGAACCAGTGTGCAAGTAGATCTTGCAGGTTCTAAACCTTTTTTCAAACAGCAGGATTGCCTGGAACTTCCAACCCTAGCCACATCTACTTCCAGTTACTCCTCATAACCAGGTAAGTAGTTGAGTCACAAATGAAATTTACAGCCTGCCGCGCATCTGTGGTGACAGCGCTACAGCAAACAGCATGAAAGATATCCCTGTCTGCTCCAACAAATGTCTGCCCAAGGCACAGAAATCACCTTTCAGAGACACTGCCGCATGTGGTTATTTACTGTTGTATTTTACAAATATTTATACAAGATTTAGAAAATTCAATAAGGTGCAAAATTGTCCCCTTTAAGGTCTGCTGAAGGCAGCGAATGACAGTTTTCCATAATAGAAAGTATAAATCAGCTCTGAACATCACATTATGTAGGAGGCTCAGTGTGAGTACTTTGAATACATTTTCTACATTGATGGCAAGATATGGCCATGGAATACTGCCTTTCAGATGCTACATGCTCTCTACACCTATTTTGAACATTTCATCAAAACTAGCAATACATCAGAATGGCCATGATCTTGTTATGGTACATTACCAAGTCAACCTTGGAAAGGAAAGTCAAGTCATAGAATAATCCTAGTATTGCTTAAACCAGAAGAGGCAACTTGACAGAGCTGTTTCAGTATTATGAAAGATACTGAAAAAAACCCTGATACTCATGAATACCAGAATACAGTCTGAGAGAAGTTCTGACTACATGGAATTTTCACACCATGGCATCTCTCCAGCAAGGACTATGCTTGAAAAAAAACCACCTCACAATGACTACTAAGTGTTGGCTGGGTTGCTTGGATACTAAATAAGAAGATCCAATAAATAGATTCATCTAAGAAAAAAAATAATGAAATAGCATGAAGTTATATACATCATCACAAAGAAAGCTACTCAATATTTTCAGGCAGTCACTGTCACCAAGAAGAGGAAACCACTTTCCTCTCTCTTGCCTAAAAAACAAAAACAAACCAACAACAAACAAACAAACTAAACTACAATGCTATCTGGTACATGAAAAAGGCCTTTTTTTTTTTTTTTCAGAATAGTCACTATGGGAAAAGCAGACAAAATGTATTTTGCGTTTTTCAACAGTTTTATTAGTGGTACACTTGACTTCAGAAAGACTAACACAATCAGACACAGAATGCGTTTTCATTTCATGAAGACCAAAACAATGGAAGCTTAAACAAGAACAGGCAATCACATCTCTGCTGCAAGGCATAAGCTAACCACTACAAATTGCAGGCAAAATTCCGTGGGACGTTTTTGCTTTCATCTGAGGCATAACTCTAAAGACTACTGCCAAAGGCACAATGTCAGGAGAGGTCTCGGTTGGGTATGACGACTTCTATTGTTGCTACTGGAACTACAGAATAACAAAACATGCCTCTCCTTGACCTGCAAAAGGATAGATTCATTCAGACATGCAGAAAATTGGGATCAGAAAGAAACATGCAGTCCATCCTGAAAAGTCATGCAAGACCTTCAGACAAAACAGAAGCAATTTTATGAGGTTTCAGCACATTGCCAAAGCAAACTACACTACGCTACAAACAGAAAGCAAACAATGGCCTGCCAGTGCACACACGCAGCACAAATGAGATAGCTAGAAAATCAGAACTAAACCAACCCCTCATCTTCATAAAGGTACTTGACAGTTCCCCAGAGGATAACAAACAGCATTGGTATACCTGGGAAGAGAGGAGACAAGGTTGACACTGACATTAAAGGACAGGGAAAAGCAAAGAGGACATAACCCCCATGCAATGATGTACAATGTAATTCTTTGCCAGGAGGGTTACCTCTCCTGACCAGTGCAGTTGGCTGTCAATAGTGGGAGGAAGAATCTAACCTGCAAGTAATTAGCATGTATACCTTCTTTTGCCTACTAGGCAAAGTCCTTGCCCTGTCTAGTTCCTAGCAATCATGAACAATGAACAACAGACCATCGCCCCCATATTTGGTACATACCAGTTTTTCTGTGAAAATTATCCTGGAGAGGACAAGGGAACTAAATTTCTGGAATATCTGCTGGCCACTATGCAATTTAGAGAGGAAGAATGCAGAGCTCTTTGACCCAAACCTTCTGCATCCACACTTCTGTCCACAGGTCTGTTGTGTTGCATTCAGGTAGCACCAGGTTCAGGCTGTCCATTGGCACTGAGCTGGTATACACTCAGTTATATATACACCATGATGATAATGAAAGCATGGGCACACTCTGTGGAGCAAGTGTGCTTAGGTCTCCCCAGAAAAGACCTAAATTTGGGCTATGGTATTCGAGCAGGTGCATCTCGTCCTGAGAAGAATCTTCGTCCTATGCTTACCTGACAGTGTATGTGTTAAAAATGTTCACAGTTTATCTGGGATGCAAGGGGAATACAGAAAAGCCAAATAAGCTGGCAGTTATAATTTGCTTTACAATGTCAAAGTCTCTCAACAAAATTTTAAAGTGCATTACATTCTTAAAAATGAGAATGGTAACAGATGTTAGAACTTTGTGTGCATTACGGTGCATTGCACAATGCAAAAGTGCAGTTTCTGACAGAAGCCACAGGGAAATCAGTGATCTCTTGCAGACTGAAAATCTTCTGAAAAGCAATATCTGCACTGAGCATACAATATCAATAAAAACCTACTCTTTCATTGCACTGTATTCCTTCTCTACAATCATAACAGCTAAATGCTGCAGAAATAGCTCAAATGATAAATTATTCTCCATCAGTAAACAAAGGGAAATAAAAAGAGAAAAAATGAAGAGCATCAAGAAAAAGAAAATCACAGAAAACCAATAGTTATAGCAATAACAAATATGTAAATTGAGTAGAGATACTGGGCAGGTGGTTGAATCACATTCCACAGACATACCTTATACTGAGAGTGTATTTTTGGAACAAAGTTACTGAGAAATCAGTCCTACTTTGACACTGGCATAGGAGATTAAGAACAGACTCATTGCAAATCACTTCCAAACAAAAGAGCCTTTGATTCATAGAAACTAATTACAGTTTGAATTACTCCTTTCTTAACTTTGCTGAGAATTAAGACATTTCAATATGAAACTCACAGATTAAGGCACAAACACCGTGAGCACAAAGGCTGTGTGTCAGCGGAGGGAACAGATGCACTGAGTGATAATGGTAATCATTTGTGGATACCTCCATCTTCTGGATACACCAGAAAACCAAATAAATTGCATTACCTGACATTTGAATTAAGTGAGAAACTGCAATTAATACCGTATATTAAATAGACCTGGCTGGCGAAGGGCTCATATTACTGAACTGCATCAGTATCCTGCTATGTAAATGTTGTACAAGTTAATAGGTAACAGAGTGGCGCAAAACCCTCTTCCCTGTCACCTCTGACACAGGTCTGCGGTGCCTTTGTGTTGCAACAACATCAGTCACATATGGTCCCTTCTAGCAATGTATATTTTAGTATGAGACACCAATACTTAGCAGTACAATTCATATTCATGAGCTTTGAATATCAATGTAAATTCTACATGGATACCATCTGCCATTTTACCAAATTCACAAAGACTTGACCTAAGAAAAAGGTGGCTCTGAAAACTATCTGGAGAACAATTTTGGCAGGTAGGATTACATCTAGTTTCCCAAGGTCCTAATCAAGATCTGAACAGAAAACTGTCACAACCTTCCCTAATCCACCTCAAATCTACAGAATATATTCAAACAGCAAACAAGAAAGTCTGCAGCATCTCTGCAATAATTATAGCTTGCAAGGATCACTGAGGTTCTCCATAGATTACTTTGTAATCTTGACACCTAATTAACCTCAGTTAACAGGCAGAAAAGTAAATGTCATTCTAGCTACTTTGGTCAGGGGAAATTCGCCAGGCTTCAGCAAGCATTAGAAGCAAATTCTATAAAGTGCTTTGAATAAAATCTAGAGATAAATATTATTTATGAACAAAATCAATATAGTATTCTCATTCTGGGCTCACAACACACAGCACTTTCAGTACATTTGAATTTCAGTTTTGTGCTTCTCTTATGCAGCTGTTCAAAGAATACCAGGTATCTGAGAAGAAACTTCCCTCTCTTGTAGGGTGCGCTTGTTCTCATACAAAAACCCTGAGATCGTTGGGCAATTTCTCCAGGTTAACTGAGAAAAAGACAGGTATCTGAATTCAGAAAACTGTAGCATCTGCTTGTTTATACTGAATCACATCTGAAGATGCCAGAAACTGCAAAAGTATTTTCATAACAGACTCAGCCACATTAATGCTTAGAGAATAACTAACTGAAAGTCTTTGAACGCTACACTGTGATTATGAAACCTGTCACAGATACCATGAAATAAGCACGCTGAGAGCTCAGCTAAAAAAACTCAACTTAATTGACAGAGGACAGGGCTTCTGAATAATAGTCTAGAAAAATTACACATACTATAGATGATGAGAAAGTAATGGATCTGAAAAAATCAATGTCTTATACACCCCACTGCATAAATAAGTATCTAGATGTACTTATTTTCCTGCTAACTTACAGTATTTTGCACCTGCTCAGGTATCTGCACAGCTTACAGAAAAACAAAAACGGTAGGTAAACCAGTCAGACATTGTCCATGCCAAAACCCAACAGTTTTAGACAGAACGATAACAGAGTGGAATAGGTAAGAGAAGAAAGTTGCGATAGATTCTACTTGAAGATTCACCATTTGGATGATGTTTTCCTAATGCTCCACAATCCCAAACGAGCAGAAAGGAGAATCACTAGCAGAGCTGCTAATGAATGCTTCTATATCCTGTGTGTAACTGCATGCAGAAATCAGTCTCTCCTTTTAATGGGTCTGTGACATTTTGGAACAGAACGGACAAGCTCAGTTTTGAACACCACAAAAGATATCACCAGGTATGTTCCATGCATTTTTCCTTCCCGTACCTTGATGTGCAAGTAAGTTTTCATTCTAGCAAGCTATTGCTAGATTCCCATTGTACCTCATTTTCTGTGAAGGTGATTTCAGAAGATAAAGATGTGTGAGGAGCAAGAGAGACTCTTCTCATTCTCACGTAATGATTAGAGATTCTTCTTGATGGAAATCTGCCTCCATAGGACCAAAGTATTGCCATTCTGCTGGGGCCCATAAAAAAGGACATATTCTGCATACAGCATTTTGGGAAGGACAAATTTATTTATAAACTAGTGTTTCAGATCAGCGGTTTCTATGTGGTGAGAATTTTAGCCTCTGAGATAATCAGGCACACAAACCAGAGGAACACGGCTGCTGTCAAAAGAAATCTAGTTTCTCATCTTTCTCTAAAGAAACCATCCAGGACAATCCGACTTCATCAACTACAAGAAATATGTGATGAGAAACTAAAATTAGTGATAAATAAATACAACCTGATGAAGAAAGGGTACCAGTATGGAAGTGAAAAAAAAACATATAATGTTTTTATCTGTTAAAAAAAAAAAAAAAAAGGAAAAGTTGAAAGCAGAAGACTGAGAGCAAAGAGAAATAAGAGAAAGTCTAGAGTGATTTGTTTATTTGTTTCTTATCAAGCTCAGTCTGGACACAAAATCAATTTTCATATCGTTGTTTGAAAGAGTTTTCACTGAAAATAGATAAGAAATGGTTAGTGTAATGAGTGCATCCTCTTGCTACATTGAGCTCATACTGGATTTGAGAAGGAAGATATCTTACTGGCTCTGCTCCAGTCAGATCATCCTGGCAATTGGGATGTAGATTTTGATACCCTAGCCAGGCTTCTTGCCTTTAACAACCTCATTCCTTCAGTGTATTCATCCTTAGAGCAAGTTTGGATTACCAAGAGTTGGAAGGAGGGGAGTTATTTATTTTTATAGCAGTTTCCCTGCTGCATGCACAGCTGGGTGTAAAATTGCCACAGAAGTTAAGGGAATGTTTAGCTTTTTTATTAGCATTTTCTTCTTAGTTTTTAGTGCTGAAAATTGCCGCCTCCTGTCTTTCCTCCTGCCTGGCTGTTATGCACAGTCACTGTGGGGATGCTGCCATTGTTTTCCCATTCATTTCTCCTCCCCAGCTCTGAATGCAAGGAGGTCCTGTTTCCAGTTGCTGCTGAAAGATGCACACAGCAGTGTTACAGCAGCACTGCTCTTCTCCAGGGACTATTTTGTATTGCCCTGACACATTTACTTGATGTCAGGATAAGGCTCAGTGACTCTCCCCTTGGGCTCAGGCATGACAAAAAAATGTGCTGGTGTCCCGAACATCCTGATAAAGACCAGCCTGCACATCCCTTTCCTTATTTTGAATTGAGATAAAATGTTCATGTTAGATGTAAAATGAGAGTACTTTTTCAGTTACGTGCTACACAGACTTTTTTTTTCCCCACTGTTAATGACAAAGCATAGCACTATTCAATATAACAACTGAAACTCTTGGAGAGAAATACATACTAGGACATTTCTACCTACTGGTAAGCCGGTCCTTACATTATGTTTTGTTAGGGCTTACCCAATGAATTGACTTGCTCTAGCTTCTTGTTTGTTCTGAGACTGTTCATCGAAAGAAGTACAGCAAGGAAAATACCATGGCTGAGCATACGTGCAAACACTCAAGTGGAAAAAACCCTTGAAGAGAATACCATTCCATTCATACATTAGACAGGAGTATGAATACAACCATATGCGATCACACTGGGGACTACAGAAGCAGAAACAATACCATATGGTCAGTAAGTGATCAAAAAGTTCAGTTCTCATTAGAAAAAATAATGACATGATATGAGTAACACCCACTAAGTTTATGAACAATACACCCACAAAATTTTAAACACATAAATATTCATCAAAAGATGAGTAATGACATTAAAAAATCATCCTGTAAGACACTTCATTAACAGGATAAAGGGTCAGGGTATCAAATCAGCTCTGACACAGTCAGGTATTTTTTGATCCAGCTTTATTTTTTACAGTCGATCAACTATTTCAAAGAGTGAGATGCTCTCAGCTCTAACCTCTCAGCAACCTCACCTTCTAGCTCTTTGAAGCACAGCCTGAGGCATTATGCTGAGGCTATTATATAGCTCAAAATGAAACTGAGCATTCATAGCAGAAAGGGATCTGGTGAGGAACTTGAGCACCCAAAAACTGGAAACACCACTGAAGCAAGAAAATGAGGTAAAAACATCTTTATCTGTTCTCAGAAGCTGATCAAGACCAAACTGTTACCTGCTAGAACTGATCTGGGAGCACTGAAGGCTTCATTGGACTAGTAGCAGATGTCTGCAACTGAAGACAGAATTATTGGCAAGGTTTGCACATACAGACATGGCTGGAATAGCAAGAAACTATAAAGATGAGGACTGAATGGCACTGGTGAAGCTTTCCTAGGAGGTCTGGATGAAGCTTATATATTTAGTGCCAAATTCTGGCACTGCCACTCATTTCCACAAATTCATCCAGAAATTCAACATACGGTAGCAAATTTCCCATATAGGAAAAACAAAAATAAAATAATGTCTTCTGTTTTGGCACTCCATTTTGCAGATATAATTTTGCTTTTTTTTTTTTT